TAGTTCCCAGCCTGCACAAATCCCCATATTCCCCTCCCTCCAACCCATGTCTTCCTACCCCTGGGTAGGGGTGAGAAGAAAATGAGGCTGCCATGGTGGTGCACCCCTGTAAGCCCTGCAGCTGGGAGATTCTGCCACTAGCTTGCCTTCAGCTCCCTCCTTCCCAGTCTGCATCCCAGGGGCTTCTGGACATGCCTAAGGCTATCCAAATGCTCAGCTCTGCTGCCTCCATGGAGAGCAGGGTTTCCTTTTCCATCCCCCAAAAGACAGCCCCACAGGCAGGAGGGTGAGAGTCCCCCGAGAGAGGAGGGGTAGGCAGGAGCAGCCAGACACACCTGCCTCATTCCTTTCCTCTTGTTCACACTGGAGAGAGCTGTGGGGGCTGGGTTCTCACCCCCCTCCCGCCTTCCCAGCCCAGGGAGGAGGAGTGAAGGGGTGGAGAAAAAGGAGGCCTGGAGGTAGGGTACTCCCATCCCAGCAGTGTCCACTGCAGCCTTAGCCTTGGCCTCACCTCTGCCTTTTAGGTGCAAAGAGGACAGAGCTGGGGGTGGGGGTGGGGGACAGAAGTGGAGAGGTAGAGGTTCAGGGCTGGGAAGTAAGGTAGGAGCAGCAACGCTGAGGGCGCACCGCCTTCGAGGGAGGGCAGTTGAGTGGTGGGGTGGGGTGGAGGCTGGACCCAGTCGTAGGGGAGGTGCGTGTTCTAGTGAGTCAAGCCTTGGGGACCAGCTAGGCCCTCAGCTAGGCTGGCCAGTGAAGGACAGGAAGAAAAGTGGGGAAGGAACAAATTAGGTATTGCCCACCCCGTCCTCTTTCTGGGCTTGAAGCTGATTTGTGACCTGGGACCAAATCTGGACCCCACAGTTAAGGGACGTGTGGGATTTGGTTGAGGGCCCTAAAAGGTGGTGTGGAGGTAATGAGGGGCATGAAAAAGGGGCCCAAGAGAGACTGGGCTTGTGCAGATTGGTGACAGGCGAGGATCTTCAGAGCTCGCTGTATGGGAAGCTGGCCTCAGTGTGTCACTGGAAATAATGGAACCGGCTGAAGTGAGGCTGGAAGGTGAAGTTCAGATGGGAGGGAGAACTTGCCGACAGCTTGGGGAAGACCAGGAGTGGAATTTGGAAATGTGGACAGAGTGACCACAGGTCATTCAGAGGAGAGGCTGTCTCCTGCCCAACAGTTTCATGATGGACACGGGGTCCTCTGTGCAGAAGGGACAAAGCTGCAGCCTCATGGAGCCACATGGTCCCCAAAGGGGGAAGGGAGGGATCTAAGAGAGTGAGTGTGGTGGCAGATCAGAGGTAGTATCGGGGTTCAGGGTCAGGGAGAGGCAGCCGGACCAGTGCCCTGCTTTTCGGTTGCCCCAGGTTTCTAGGGTGAGGGGAGTGGGGAGAGCATTCATTCAAAGGAAGACAG